TTTTGGGGGGGGGGCGCGGAAGTGTTCCCCCGTCTCTTTGTTTCCTCATTTTGGACTTGTCAATGCTTCGTGCCTCTTATTCTTTTTTCTTTTTTTTTTTTTCTTTGGCTGATTCTGTTTTGCCTCGCAGCTTCTGGTTGAGCATAGGGCTGTCACGGAATAAACCATCAGTGGCACTAAGGGATACGAAGTTAAACACACAGGAATATGGGCTCGTATGGCTTGAAAAGCGTTGGTGACATTGGCGACTGTGGCTCCTCCTACCACAAAAACGATATTCTGTGAGCTGGAAACTCATGATTTTATCAGGTCTCCGAGAGGGGGGGGGCGAGGTTGGAGGGCAGTCTGAATCTCTGAAAGTGGCCTGCGGGTAACGGTGACATGATCATGCAAATGAGAATAGTTGTTTTTTTTTCCCCTTCTGTTTAAAAAAAAAACATCAACATTTTTTCCTTACAGATTTGAAAATTAACATTATTGGGGTTATTTTTGTTGTTGGTGAACTGTTTCGGGGAGTGTGTTGGGATTGTAACAAACGGATGATCTCGAACTGAACTTTGAAATAACACCTAAGACCTTTTAACAAGCTGGACCGCTGACCACGTCTTCGTAAATAATTTCTGATAAATTAGAGAGATGTGAAGCTCTTGTTCCGTTATAATCGATTCTATGCATTTCCTGATATGTTAGATGGTGCTTAGATCTTGTTCCGTTGTAATCGATTATATGCATTTCCCGATAAGTTAGATGATGTGGAGCTCCTGTTCCGTTAGAATCGATTATATGCATTTCCTGATAAGTTAGATGATGTGGAGCTCCTGTTCCGCTATAATCGAGTACATGCATCTCCTGACAAACCCAGATCGTAAACACCGCTGTTGGTGTCGAATCCACAACTGAACGGACGCGTCATCCGTCCCAGCAAGTTATCCAGTCCTGATACCGAGACAAGTGGAGATCGCTCAGTTTAAAGTGTCTCCACGATTCTCGTCCAGGGTAAAAAAAAAAAAAAAAGACCCCCAGAAAGCAAATATAGTTTTAAATGCATGAGTACAGGTCAACATGGTTCATTGTACAGGTCAACATGGCTCATTGTACAGGTTAACATGGTTCATTGTACAGGTCAACATGGTTCATTGTACAGGTCAACATGGTTCATTGTACAGGTCAACATGGTTCATTGTCCAGGTCAACATGGTTCACTGTACAGGTCAACATGGCTCATTGTACAGGTCAACATGGCTCATTGTACAGGTCAACATGGTTCATTGTACAGGTCAACATGGTTCATTGTACAGGTCAACATGGTTCATTGTACAGGTCAACATGGTTCATTGTACAGGTCAACATGGTTCATTGTACAGGTCAACATGGTTCATTGTACAGGTCAACATGGTTCATTGTACAGGTCAACATGGTTCATTGCACAGGTCAACATGGTTCATTGCACAGGTCAACATGGTTCATTGTACAGGTCAACATGGTTCATTGTACAGGTCAACATGGTTCATTGCACAGGTCAACATGGTTCATTGCACAGGTCAACATGGTTCATTGCACAGGTCAACATGTTTCATTGTACAGGTCAACATGGTTCATTGTACAGGTCAACATGGTTCATTGTACAAGTCAACATGGTTCATTGTACAGGTCAACATGGTTCATTGCACAGGTCAACATGGCTCATTGCACAGGTCAACATGGCTCATTGCACAGGTCAACATGGCTCATTGTACAGGTCAACATGGTTCATTGTACAGGTCAACATGGTTCATTGTACAGGTCAACATGGTTCATTGCACAGGTCAACATGGTTCATTGTACAGGTCAACATGGTTCATTGTACAGGTCAACATGGTTCATTGTACTGGTCAACATGGTTCATTGTACAGGTCAACATGGTTCATTGTACAGGTCAACATGGTTCATTGTACAGGTTAACATGGTTCATTGCACATGTCAACATGGTTCATTGCACAGGTCAACATGGCGCATTGCATAGATCAACATGGCTCATTGCACAGGTCAACATGGCTCATTGTACAGGTCAACATGGTTCATTGTACAGGTCAACATGGTTCATTGCACAGGTCAACATGGTTCATTGTACAGGTCAACATGGTTCATTGCACAGGTCAACATGGCTCATTGCACAGGTCAACATCATTGTACAGGTCAACATGGTTCATTGTACAGGTCAACATGGTTCATTGCACAGGTCAACATGGTTCATTGTACAGGTCAACATGGTTCATTGCACAGGTCAACATGGCTCATTGCACAGGTCAACATGGCTCATTGTACAGGTCAACATTGTTCATTGTACAGGTCAACATGGTTCATTGTACAGGTCAACATGGTTCACTGTACAGGTCAACATGGCTCATTGTACAGGTCAACATGGCTCATTGTACAGGTCAACATGGTTCATTGTACAGGTCAACATGGTTCATTGTAAGGTCAACATGGTTCATTGTACAGGTCAACATGGTTCATTGTACAGGTCAACATGGTTCATTGTACAGGTCAACATGGTTCATTGTTCAGGTCAACATGGTTCATTGTACAGGTCAACATGGTTCATTGTACAGGTCAACATGGTTCATTGTACAGGTCAACATGGTTCATTGTACAGGTCAACATGGTTCATTGTACAGGTCAACATGGTTCATTGTACAGGTCAACATGGTTCATTGTACAGGTCAACATGGTTCATTGTACAGGTCAACATGGTTCATTGCACAGGTCAACATGGTTCATTGCACAGGTCAACATGGCTCATTGCACAGGTCAACATGGCTCATTGCACAGGTCAACATGGCTCATTGTACAGGTCAACATGGTTCATTGTACAGGTCAACATGGCTCATTGCACAGGTCAACATGGCTCATTGCACAGGTCAACATGGCTCATTGCACAGGTCAACATGGTTCATTGCACAGGTCAACATGGTTCATTGTACAGGTCAACATGGTTCATTGCACAGGTCAACATGGTTCATTGCCATGGTTTTGTTCGGTCACTAGCATCTCCGCGGCTGTTTGGGGAAGCTGTTCATTGCCATGGTTCCGTTCGGTCACTAGCATCTCCGCGGCTGTTCGGTGAAGCTGTTCATTGCCATGGTTCCGTTCGGTCACTAGCATCTCCGCGGCTGCTTGGTGAAGCTGTTCATTGCCATGGTTCCGTTTGGTCACTAGCATCTCCGCGGCTGTTTGGGGAAGGTGTTCATTGCCATGGTTCCGTTCGGTCACTAGCATCTCCGCGGCTGTTTGGTGAAGCTGTTCATTGCCATGGTTCCGTTTGGTCACTAGCATCTCCGCGGCTGCTTGGTGAAGCTGTTCATTGCCATGGTTCCGTTCGGTCACTAGCTTCTCCGCGGCTGCTTGGTGAAGCTGTTCATTGCCGTGGTTCCGCTCGGTCACTAGCATCTCCGCGGCTGCTTCGTGAAGCTGTTCATTGCCATGGTTCCGTTCGGTCACTAGCATCTCCGCGGCTGCTTGGTGAAGCTGTTCATTGCCATGGTTCCGTTCGGTCACTAGCATCTCCGCGGCTGCTTGGTGAAGCTGTTCATTGTGGATTTGTTTCTACTTCAAATTTTGTCAAGGTGGTGTCACGTTGATCTTTTCTCAGTAGAAACTTAGTACTTGTTATGGTCAACTTAGCACTTTTTATGTTCATCTTATTAGTACTTGCTACGTTCAACTTAATAGTGGTTGTTATAGTCAACTGAGTACTTATTGTTACGATCAACCTAGTTACATGTTACGGTCAACTTAGTTACTTCTTACGTCAACTTAGATGCTTTTTATGGTCAACTTAGTATTGGTTGTCATGGTCAACTCTGTACTTGTTATGGTCAACTCAGTACTGTTTACAGTCAACTCAGTACTAGCTACAGTCAACGCAATACTTGTTTTGTTCAACTCAGTACTAGCTACAGTCAATGCAATACTTGTCATGGTCAACTTAGTACTTGTCATGGTCAACTTAGCACTTGTCACGGTAAACTTAGTACTTGTCATGGTCAACATAGTACTTGTCATTGTGAACTTAGTACTTGTCATGGTCAACTTAGTACTTGTCATGGTCAACTTAGTACTTGTCATGGTCAACTTAGTACTTGTCATGGTCAACTTAGCACTTGTCATGGTCAACTTAGTACTTGTCATGGTCAACTTAAAACTTGTTATGGTCAACAGTACTTGTGACGTGTACCCTATGTAAATCCTGGTATTTCTTAACTTCAGTTTTGTTTTTATCTAGTAAATATGCATCAGCTTCCCGACTCATACTAGCCTCCCTTTCCTGTCTTTTATAGGCGGAGCCAGCAGTTGCCGCGGTCAAGCCTGTCTCTGATGTTGACCTGCTGTTTGGTTTAGATGATGACCTGGCCTCGCCACAGCCCATGCCAGAGATCGAAATAAGTCACCAAGATATTCTGGACTTTGCAGACCCAGCTCCAACAACAGAAGACCCAAAAGTAAATATTCTGTCAACCAGTGTTTGTCCCTGTGCTCTAATGGCCCACTGTCACCCCATGTTTGTCCCTGTGCTCAAATGGCCCACTGTCACCCCATGTTTGTCCCTGTGCTCTATGTTGTTCGTCCGTCGAAGTCGACAAGGACCATCGAATCATCCGGTTAGGGGCGGGCGGGGGGGTGGGATTACGGTGAGCTCTTAGGTGGCTTGTTAGACCGATCCTTGCTCGATCCTTGCTCGGAATAATCTATGACACCATGTTTGTCCCTGTGCTCTAATGGCACACTGTTAACCCATGTGCCCATTGCCACCCCATGTTTGTCCCTGTGCTCTAATGGCCCACTGTCACCCCATGTTTGTCCCTGTGCTCTAATGGCCCACTGTTACCCCATGTTTGTCCCTGTGCTCTAATGGCCCACTGTCACCCCATGTTTGTCCCTGTGCTCTAATGGCCTACTGTCAACCCATGTTTGTCCCTGTGCTCTAATGGCCCACTGTTACCCCATGTTTGTCCCTGATCTCTAATGGCCCACTGTCACCCCATGGTTGGCCCTGTGCTCTAATGGCTCACTGTTACCCCATATTTGTCCTTGTGCTTTAATGGCCCACTGTCACCCCGTGTTTGTCCCTGTGCTCTAATGGCCCACTGCCACCCAATGTTTGTCCCTGTGCTCTAATGGCCCACTGTCACCCCGTGTTTGTCCCTGTGCTCTAATGGCCTACTGTCACCCCGTGTCTGTCCCTGTGCTCTAATGGCCCACTGTCACCCCATGTTTGTCCCTGTGCTCTAATGGCCTACTGTCACCCCATGTTTGTCCCTGTGCTCTAATGGCCCACTGTTACCCCATGTTTGTCCCTGATCTCTAATGGCCCACTGTCACCCCATGGTTGGCCCTGTGCTCTAATGGCTCACTGTTACCCCATATTTACTCTAATGGCCCACTGTCACCCCATGTTTGGCCCTGTGCTCTAATGGCTCACTGTCACCCCATGTTTGTCCTTGTGCTCTAATGGCCCACTGTCACCCCATGTTTGTCCCTGTGCTCTAATGGCCCACTGTCACCCCATGTTTGTCCCTGTGCTCTAATGGCCCACTGTCACCCCGTGTTTGTCCCTGTGCTCTAATGGTCTACTGTCACCCCGTGTTTGTCCCTGTGCTCTAATGGCCCACTGTTACCCCATGTTTGTCCCTGATCTCTAATGGCCCACTGTCACCCCATGGTTGGCCCTGTGCTCTAATGGCCTACTGTCACCCCATGTTTGTCCATGTGCTCTAATGGCCCACTGTCACCCCATGTTTGTCCCTGTGCTCTAATGGCCCACTGTCACCCAATGTTTGTCTCTGTGCTCTAATGGCACACTGTTAACCCATGTGCCCATTGCCACCCCATGTTTGGCCCTGTGTTCTAATGGCCCACTGTTACCCCATGTTTGTCCCTGTGCTCTAATGGCCCACTGTCACCCATGGTTGGCCCTGTGCTCTAATGGCCCACTGTCACCCCATGTTTGTCCATGTGCTCTAATGGCCCACTGTCACCCAATGTTTGTCCCTGTGCTCTAATGGCACACTGTTAACCCATGTGCCCATTGCCACCCCATGTTTGGCCCTGTGTTCTAATGGGCCACTGTTACCCCATGTTTGTCCCTGTGCTCTAATGGCCCACTGTCACCCCATGTTTGTCCCTGTGCTCTAATGGCACACAGGAAATTTGTTAACCCTTTGATGTTAGTTTCAAACAGTTCAGCTGGCCTTTAAAGGTGGGTCTCATGTCCAGGTACCAATGGCCATACACAAGCCAAATGGTTTGACAGTAGGGTATCCATGTCCAGGTACCCAGTTTTCATCCACAGGTCAAGATGTTTGACAGTAGGGTATCCATGTCTAGGTACCCAGTGGTCATCCATTGGTCAAATGGTTTGACCATAGGGTATTCATGTTCAATAGATTGTTGTCTCTTTATTAAAGTGTTCATTATAGATAAATAATAACAGATGTAAAAAATAGATGTATGTTTAGTGAGAATGAGACAAGATGTACATATGGTTAACAGAAATTTGATCGAAAGAAATTTCGTCGATGGTAAATTGATTGATGGAAATTTGATAAAACTGAAATTTGGTTGAATCTTTTTTTCAGTTCACGCATTAAAATTTTCGTCAAAATTTCTTTTGCAACGTACTATACTTTATAGTAAAACAAAATAATGCGTTCGAAAAGAAATTTGAACCAAAATTTTAACATAAAAACTGAAAAAAAGTTTCGACCGAATTTTTGTTCGATCAAATAACAGTTGATCAATTTACCGTCGATGTAATTTCTTTTTATCAAATTTCCGTTACATGTACAAATAGTTGTAGACAGAATGAGACAAGTTGTTCGTGTAGATGTAATGAGAAGTGCTTATGTATGTAAATATACTAATCAGCAAGTCATGTTTTCTAACATTCAACATATTTTATTGACTTCCAGTCCTGTTATGCACCACTAGTTCAACATGTCAGTGTCTCATTTCACAGGTGCCAACCATGGACACTGATGACGCCTTTGAGGACTCTTTTGTCATCATCGGCAAGGACCTGGCCGAGGAAGCCCACGAGCGGGAGGGGAAGAAAGCAGATGAAAAGAAAGATGAGGTGAACACAGATAAAACTGAGAAGGAGGAAATGGAGGTGTCCATTACAGAGGACAGGGTAATTCAATATTCCATTATGCCTGGAATGAATGAGTTCTCAGAGGCTAATATGGCTTTGATGTTTAAAAAATTAGTTTTTTTTTCAAAAAATCATTAGAACCTGCTGGCATTACATGAAGACAGCGTATCTGTTTAATGGGAAACAACCTTTGATTATACTAGAACTACAACATGAAGAAATGAAAGAAAAGAATAATCGGGCTGGTTTCCCCTTGGCCAGATATACCTATTTATCGGCGTATAATACGCACCGGCGCATAAAAGGCACCTCATTTTAAGAAGGAAATTTCAGGGGAAAAAATGTAAAATTCTATCGGCGTAAAGCACGCACACATCATTTGCCCCCTATTTTCAGGGAGAAAAAGTGCGTGTTATACGCCGATAAATACGGTAGTTATTTTATTATTATTGCTCCTATAAAATGACGCCTGTTCCCCAGCCTTCAGATTCTTTAACTTTTAAATTCACTCTTGTGAATGATGGATTTTTAGTGTAAATTACATATCCAGGTGTTGTTAACGTATTTAACCAAATGTTGTTTAATTGTTGTACAGACGTTTTTGCTCAAGCAGCACATGCTTGTGCACTTGCTTTGAGATTATATAAATATGGGGGGGGGGAGGGGGGGGGGAGTCAGTCACGCAAGGTGACAAGTGTTTTAAAACAACAATGCTGAAATGTGTTCAGTGGGCAAAGAAGTTTGAGAATGGCTGTGTCATTGTAAAGAACCATTTGATTTTTTTTTAAAAAGAAAGAAAGAAAAAGAAATGAAATTTACAGAAATTTAATGATTGAGTCGACAATGATAAGTCTCGGACAAGACTTGGCGGACCTCCGATTTTTTTTTAAAAACCCATCTTCTTGTAAGAGAAATAATCCCCCGTTGACGTGATGCTTTTCTCAATCCTCAGGTTGATGGAATGCCCAGGGGAAGCACTGGTGATGACGGCATTGATTTCTCTATTCTTGCCGTAAGTCTGTTAGATTCTAAATTTTTCTGTTCTACACATGCATATTTTGGATTCTTTTGACTTGATGCTAGAGCTGGGCATGAATCAAAAAATGAGTTAACCCAAGTCTCACTGAGGGGTTAACATTTTTGTTAACATTTTAGCTAAGAGATTATTTATTTTTTTAACAATGTTTTATTAAGTTAAGACAGGATCCTGGAACCTTAAATATTTTGCAGAAATGGTTATGTTTAAATTAAATTTAAGTTGCGTTAAACATTATGGCTGCTACTTTGGTACAATTAATATAATAAATGCGAATCAAAAGTTTTAAATTTTTTATTTTTTTTTAAAGGGGGATAACTCTAACAAATTAGTGTTGTTTTCATGTGGGCGCTTCAATTTTTTAAACTAGATCAAAAGTTTAAAATTTGGCCATTTGCCATGAAAACGTTCCTGACCCCTGGGTTAACACATGGGAAATGTGATTTGATAAGGTATTTCAGTGAGAATGCACCGCTTAGAGGTGATGGTAAAGACCAAAAGGTATTGCAGTAAGAATGTACCGCTGAGAGCTTATGGTAAATGTCGAAAGGTATTTCATTTAGAATGTACAGCTGAGAGGTTATGGTAAAAAATCAAATGGTATTGCAGTTTAAATGTACTGCTGAGAGGTTATGGTAAACATCCAAAGGTTTTATTCTAATATCTAATTGCATCTTTCCTCTATTGTTTGTGTTGACCTCTCATTTATTTATTTATTTTTAAGCTGCCAGGGACAGAACATTTGAACTTTGATCTGTCCAAACACAAGCGGTCATTAAGTCAGAAGGGATCCATTGCTCGCAGGAAGAGGCCAACACGCGCGGCCATCCAAGGAGGGGATGATGTTGACAGAATTTACATTGATTCAACAGGTAGGTCAGCAGGTGAACCGGAGATCACCACTGAGAACCTCTCTCTGGTAGTTTGGGCTATGAGCTCTCAAGCTTAATGCTACCTTAAAGTCATTCACCTCAACTGTGAGAACCCTTGGCTGGTAATCCCTGCTATGGCCGTTCAAGCCCAATCCTATAAGATACCGGTCAGTCCTTTACTCACTTTCTAGTTAGGGTTCCGGAAAACATCAATGTCCTTTTATCCAAATGTTAATGACAAGTATTGCAACTAAATGCAAGATCTTTGTCTTTAGAATACACCAGAATCATTTGAAACCATCCCAATGCTGAACTTACAATTTGAAAATTTACACCATAAAAATCAGCTGAGATATCTAAGAAAATTTCTAGCATTAAAAATTTTGACTTGAGTGCGTGCCACTTTGTTAGCTAAGTTTATCCTATTAAAAATTCTCCTCAGAACCCAGGCTACCGAGATCCCCCCTGGCAAGTGATGATATGACTGATGGTCTGTCCAGTTCCAAAGTTGAGGAGCCACACAAAGCCAAGCAGGAAGAGGAGTCACCCAAGGACTCGACCAAAAAGTTTAGCGGGGGAGTCAAGATTCCAGGACTTTTGGAGGGGCTCAGTAAATCCAAGGTAGACCCTCGTGGCTGTTGCTGGGATATGGTGGGAGACAACTTGATTTAAAGTTGCCAGGAAGTCTAGCAAATCCTTTTTTTAAATTTCTCCTATTGTAAAAATATTTTATAACCACATTTTGTTTGTGTAACAAGATTGTTTCATAAGTTTTCCTTGATTTTAACAGGTTTTTTCCAAGACCGAGAAGTCAGACCCTGAGTCGGGGGTGAAAACCCAAGGCTCAAAGGTCCCCGTCCCCACTGCCAGGACATCTGCTCCGGCGGACAGCACATCTAGTCCCCCCACTCGTCCCAAGCCTGTCGTACTCCCCCGCGTGTTGCCCAGCATTATCCCAAAATCCACCAGCAAGACTCTGAAAGATTCCCAGAACCACAGCACTGCCGGAGAATCAGGTCCGGTCAAACCACTCTTGGGGTCACACACAGATGTGAAACTAACAACCACCCCAGAAAAACCATCAAGAGATTTTAAATTGACTCCTCCACTTGGTGTTAGTAGAGTGCTACCTTCTAAACCAGACTTTCATACCGCTGGCACCCTTCCTGTGCAGACACCGCCAAAACCTCCAGCCAAAGTTCCTCCCCCTGTGCCGAGTAAGCCATTGGCTCCCATGAAGCCGGTGAGATCCGGTTTATACGGTTCTGCGTCTTTCAGCGCTGCCGACAGACATTCCTCCACCTTCAACAGAAAGACTGTCGTGCCTTCTCTTGCTCAAAAGAACGAAGACAGCCTTTTACCCGACACAACAGACTCGTCAAAGGCGCAGAACTCTGCTGAAAGTAAGACAAATGCCTTGTCATTTGCAGAGAAAAGCAGCTCGCCATATTCCCCACTCACAAATAAACCCACAAACACAGATGTTTCCACGTCTTCAAGGATACCGCTATCTGAATCAGAAAGCACCAGAACCACTGGCATCGCCAGAGCGTCATCGTTACGAACAAACACGATTGGATACTTGGACAGGCTTAAATTTAGGCCCGGTGAAGGTTCACATAATTTGGAGAGAAAGAAAACCGAAAGCTTCGAGGATGCCATCGATGTCCTCAACTCTGCAAATAAAAACAGTTCTGAACCAGGGGCTGTGTTAACTGCGGGAAAATCCGAAAGTGGGGACGGAGCCAAAGATGAGATTGTGGTTCTCAGAAAGTCAAGCATCAGTGGCGTCTCATCAGTCAAGTCTCCATCCATTAACGACAAAAGCCAGTCCAGCATCGCGCCCAGGCGCGGTAGTTTCACCGGCAGTGCTTATAATCCCATTGGCTTTCGGTCCACCGTCGGCGGTGTTGACGGTGAGGCCAGCAAGTCACGGGGAAACTCTGTGTCCAGTAATGAAGAAGCGGCCGTAAATTCTACAAAGTCTGCATCCGTATCCGAGACCAAACCTTCCGTTACCTCAGAGTCGTTAGCCAAATCTACACCGGTCGTGGAAACTAACCCTACTGTAGCGTCCATGACTTTAAACAAGTCTTCATTCATCATGGAAACCAAACCTGCATTGATCACTGAGAATTCAAGCAAGTCCTCATCTCTTACTGAAAGCAAACATTCCATCACCACTGTGACTCCAACCAAACCTGCATCAGGTGCGGACTCAAGACATGCCCACGATTCTTTCAGCAGCTCAGACAGCCCGAGAACAATGCCCATTCCCAGCGTCCATTTGAAGACAAGTGCTGATAGGGGGAGCACAGGCTATACAGGTCAGTCTGGTTGTCATTTGCAGGCTGCCAATACATATCTCTCATCATAAAATCTATGCAAGGCAGTTCCATTTCACTTATCAGTAATTTTTCTTCATGCCCCGTGTAAGCACTTGCCTGTAATTAAAAGCTTATGTTGCCTCTTACACATCAGCTTGTGAATATATATTTTTTAAATTATTTACTGATGGGTTACTACAAAAAAAAAAAAAAATTCCATTCATTAAGGCAGTTGGTAGATCCCGACTGGATGGGGCGTCATCATTAAACTGGTTGGGGGAGTGGGGGGAGTTCCTTGTCAATTATTTATGCTTCTGTTTATTTATATGAAACTGGAAGTCACAAAGAGATTTCTCGTAAGATTTTCGTAACGATTAAGAATAATCTTGAAATCAAATAAAATTGTTTCGTAAAGATGAGCTAACTAAAATATAAGACTTATTGCTGTGAAGTTTCCTTGTCGTTTTTTCCCAACAGCCACAAGAAGCTCAATCCTGTCAACTGTTTCCAGTGAGGACAAGAAAAAAGAGACAGCGGATGAGACCAACAAGAACATAAAGAACCAGACCAAAGACCTCAAGGACTACAACTCCTCACTGAAGGCCAATGGCAAGGTTCCAGAGACTTCTGAGAAGGCGGTGACTTCAAATGAAAAGGTTTCCCCTTGGAACGTTCGGTTAAGAAAAGTGGAGAAGAAGGTGACTAAAGTGGGCAGTGAAGGGTTCAAACCTGACATGTTGTTGGCCCCTACTTATACATTATTCCTGGTGGCCTCCATAGCAGAGAAATGTTCTGTGTTGCTCGACAGCAGACAATAAGAACACTGTCAATTATAGCACGATCATAACGCTAAAGTTTATAATTCTGAATATCAGAACACTGACAATCAAAATACCTACAATCGACATAACACTAATAATCATAGCACTTACAATCATGACACAGTCATAACACTGACAATCATACCACTGACAATCATAACACAATCATAAAAATGATAATTATAATAATTACAATCATAACACAATAATATCACTATCAGTCATAACACTTTCAATCATAGCACTTACAATCATTGATAATTATAATACTGACAAACATAACTGATAATCCTATACTGACAATCAGCACTGGTATGAATCCTGTCAGAAGACGCCCATGTTAACAAATGAGGATATGATCAAGGAATAGCAAATAATTAAGTATCCAAGTTCACCAAATGTTGCCTTATACTGAAGTATGAAGCATCTATATCCTCACAAATTCTCAACAGTTGTATTGTTACAAACTCTGTGTTGTTCTCAACAGTTCTATTGTTACAAACTCTGTGTTGTTCTCAGCAGTTCTATTGTTACAAACTCTGTGTTGTTCTCAACAGTTCTATTGTTACAAACTCTGTGTTGTTCTCAACAGCTCTATTGTTACAAACTCTGTGTTGTTCTCAACAGTTCTATTGTTACAAACTCTGTGTTGTTCTCAACAGTTCTATTGTTACAAACTCTGTGTTGTTCTCAGCAGTTCTATTGTTACAAACTCTGTGTTGTTCTCAGCAGTTCTATTGTTACAAACTTTGTGTTGTTCTCAACAGTTCTATTGTTACAAACTTTGTGTTGTTCTCAGCAGTTCTATTGTTACAAACTCTGTGTTGTTCTCAGCAGTTCTATTGTTACAAAGTCTGTGTTGTTCTCAACAGTTCTTTTGTTACAAACTCTGTGTTGTTCTAATTAAGATCAATACTCTTATGAGGTCGAGATTCTATCTCTTAGGACCTCGGCCATGAGACATGGCCTAGTAGTCCCTGAGGACTCCAGCCATGAGACATGGCCTAGTAGTCCCTGTGGACTCCGGCCATGAGACATGGCCTAGTAGTCCCTGTGGACTCCGGCCATGAGACATGGCCTAGTAGTCCCTGTGGACTCCGGCCATGAGACATGACCTAGTAGTCCCTGTGGACTCCGGCCATGAGACATGGCCTAGTAGTCCCTGAGGACTCCAGCCATGAGACATGGCCTAGTAGTCCCTGTGGACTCCAGCCATGCAAAACGGTCTCGAGTAAAATGGTGTTCTGGGCAGTTTGCTTCCACTCACCAGGGGACAGTTTTGCGTCACCACCCCCGGTGCTCATTGAGTCATGCGGTCTGGACGTTGGGTTTGGAACGGCTTTGCTTCCTCTCCGGGGATGGTGTTGTGTTACCTCACCCCACTGTCCAGGGAGCCGTGCGTTCCTTGGTGTGGCACGGCTTTACCTCCACTCCGGGAGTAGTCTCAAGCTTAACTTTATCCCACCGTTCCTGGGAGTTGTGTGGACGTGGGTCAAGACGGCTTTACTTCCTCTCCTGGGGAGGTGTTGCGTTACCTCGCCCCACCGCTTCGGGAGTAGTTCGGACGGGACTTTGTCGGGACGAAACGGTCGCCTAGGAGCGGCTTTCTCAAGGCCCCATGTTTTTAATCCTCAGCAAGGGTTTTAAAAACCCAAGCCTCATATCCATTATCGGCGACACGTAATCATGTTAGCGCGCAACTTTCGTTGTGTGAAAAGTCATGCGTTTTGCTTGGATCAATTAGCTTCAGGAGTCACCTCCCTACTAATCTTCCACACCACGCAGAGGTAAGATCCGTGTGACACCGCCGAGAGCATGGCGATGTGAGTTTTCCCTCATTCTAGCGCCAGCTGTCCTGAGGGAAAACGTTGTTCTCAACAGTTCTATTGTTACAAATTCTGTATTGTTCTCAACAGTTCTATTGTTACAAACTCTGTGTTGTTCTCAACAGTTCTATTGTTACAAACTCTGTGTTGTTCTCAACAGTTCTATTGTTACAAACTCTGTGTTGTTCTCAACAGCTCTATTGTTACAAACTCGGTGTTATTCTCAACAGTTCTATTGTTACAAACTCTGTGTTGTTCTCAACAGTTCTATTGTTACAAACTCTGTGTTGTTCTCAACAGTTCTATTGTTACAAACTTTGTGTTGTTCTCAACAGTTCTATTGTTACAAACTTTGTGTTGTTCTCAGCAGTTCTATTGTTACAAACTCTGTGTTGTTCTCAGCAGTTCTATTGTTGCAAACTCTGTATTGTTCTCAGCAGTTCTATTGTTACAAACTTTGTGTTGTTCTCAGCAGTTCTATTGTTACAAACTCTGTGTTGTTCTCAGCAGTTCTATTGTTGCAAACTCTGTGTTTTTCTCAGCAGTTCTATTGTTACAAACTTTGTGTTTTTCTCAGCAGTTCTATTGTTACAAACTCTGTGTTGTTCTCAGCAGTTCTATTGTTACAAACTCTGTGTTTTTCTCAGCAGTTCTATTGTTACAAACTCTGTGTTGTTCTTAGCAGTTCTATTGTTGCAAACTCTGTGTTGTTCTCAGCAGTTCTATTGTTACAAACTTTGTGTTGTTCTCAACAGTTCTATTGTTACAAACTCTGTGTTGTTCTCAGCAGTTCTATTGTTGCAAACTCTGTGTTGTTCTCAACAGTTCTATTGTTACAAACTTTGTGTTGTTCTCAGCAGTTCTATTGTTACAAACTCTGTGTTGTTCTCAGCAGTTCTATTGTTACAAACTTTGTGTTGTTCTCAACAGTTCTATTTTTACAAACTATGTGCTGTTCTCTTGTCACAATTTCTCAGCAGCTCTGGACTAACATTATTCCAAGCAAAATCTTGTTTAAAACTCTCAGCTGATTTACTGCTTGGATATTCTGAATACCAGTATTGTTGTTGATGATAATGTTGTCATTATGTGGTCAAGAATTCTGTCATTCTAATGTTACTAATTCTATGTCATTCTAGTGTTACAAATTCTCTCATTATTTTTTTACAAATTCAATGTTCTATTGTTACAAATTCTATGTCATTCTTGTTACAAGTCCATGTTCTTTTGGTGTTATAAATTAAATGTAGTTCTATTGTTGCAAACTCTGTGTTACTCTGATGATACAATTTCTTTGTTACTCTGCAATTGTAAATTCTGTGTTTTTCTGATGTTTCGATTTCTGCTCCACAGGAAAAGACCCCTGAACCTGAAACAATTAAAAATGAAAACCTTTTGTCAAGCGTTGATTGGAGGCAGCAGATGGCTCAGAAACGACGAAGTGTGGCTTCACCAAAAGGTCAGTCTGTGGAAATGTAAGACTCTTGAAACATTGAAAACGACATCTGGGCATTGGTGGCAGGGAGATGATTTCTTGACCACTTTCTGCCAGCTCCAGTATTCTGGTCAAAGAAATTCTCGTAACCAAACTACTACATTTGCCACTACTTTTGTCTTCACCAAACTACTACATTTGCAGCTACTTCTACCTTCCCCACTACTACTACAAAGTATCCATAAGTCATTATTTCTGCCTGTGTGGGCCACAGTATCCTTAAGTCTTTATTTCTGCCTGTGTGGGCCACAGTATCCTTAAGTCTTTATTTCTGCCTGTGTGGGCCACAGTATACATAAGCCTTTATTTCTGCCTGTGTGGGCCTCAGTATCCTTAAGTCTTTATTTCTGCCTGTTTGGGCCACAGTATCCTTAAGTCTTTATTTCTGCCTGTGTGGGCCTCAGTATCCTTAAGTCTTTATTTCTGCCTGTGTGGGCCTCAGTATCCTTAAGTCTTTATTTCTGCCTGTGTGGGCCACAGTATACATAAGCCTTTATTTCTGCCTGTTTGGGCCACAGTATCCTTAAGTCTTTATTTCTGCCTGTGTGGGCCTCAGTATCCTTAAGTCTTTATTTCTGCCTGTGTGGGCCTCAGTATCCTTAAGTCTTTATTTCTCCCTGTGTGGGCCTCAGTATTCTTAAGTCTTTATTTCTGCCTGTGTGGGCCTCAGTATCCTTAAGTCTTTATTTCTGCCTGTGTGGGCCTCAGTATCCTTAAGTCTTTATTTCTGCCTGTGTGGGCCTCAGTATCCTTAAGTCTTTATTTCTGCCTGTGTGGGCCTCAGTATCCTTAAGTCTTTATTTCTGCCTGTGTGGGCCACAGTATACATAAGCCTTTATTTCTGCCTGTGTGGGCCTCAGTATCCTTAAGTCTTTATTTCTGCCTGTGTGGGCCACAGTATACATAAGCCTTTATTTCTGCCTGTGTGGGCCTCAGTATCCTTAAGTCTTTATTTCTGCCTGTGTGGGCCTCAGTATCCTTAAGTCTTTATTTCTGCCTGTGTGGGCCTCAGTATCCATAAGTCTTTATTTCTGCCTGCGTGAGCCTCAGTATCCTTAAGTCTTTATTTCTGCCTGTTTGGGCCACAGTATACATAAGCCTTTATTTCTTTCTGTGTGGGGTACAATTTTATCTCCATCTCATTTATTAGTTTGAAACACATAAATTCAAATATTTCTATTTCTTACATGCATTACAGATCAAATAATCTTCATTTAAATTTATTTAAATAGTTATGAAATTTCTGTCACCAATCTATATTACGTCATCATCCGTTCTCCAGTTCACTGATAATAGGCTACTGCTAATAGCTATTAATTAGTGCTATGTGACAATGTTACCATGGTTCGTTTATTATTTCTGTCTAGGCTTTGCCCTATCAGGTTTGGTGATGATCTTCCTAGAGTTAATTTATTCTTATTTATTAAACACCGAAAGACACTTTTAAACCTCGGCCAAAACGAAAATGAAGATCGAACCAAGCTCAAATTAACCTATCACCCTCAAAATTTGACAGCCAAAATACTATTCATAAAGAATCATAATATACTTCTTGCTGACCCAGACACTAAACAGGGTATTCTCATCCCCTCCACGAATTGTCTTCAGACGGGACAAAAACCGAGGTGACCTTCTGGTTCATAGTCACCTCCGAGCTGACCCGTCTTACTTTGGGACACTATACCATGCTCAAGAAGCCGATGTAGGACGTGTCCTTGAACACTCTAAACAAAAAAAAATTAGCCTCTCTTAAGGTACCTTTACCATCAAAGAGGTTTCACATGCGTTAGTTGTAACGTGATATATGTGATTGTGTGCTGTAGATGCCATTCTAGTTATATGGGCGAAACTGGGAGAAGATTCGCAGATATGTTCACAGAACATCTTCGGGATATTGAACAAGGTAAACGGAGGGCAACATAAAGTTCCATTAGATGTATCCATTACAGCACTAATTTCTTGCACAAACACACCAGAGAGAGTGAAAATGGAAAACAAATTCAGCTTTTCGGCACCATATCTCCACATGGTATGAATCAAATACTCTCTTACTAATGTTTCTCAATGTCCCTGTATTTCTTCTTTTTTTCTTATTCCTTGCATTTTATGTATACCTAAATATTTTGGTCCCTTAAGATTCTCTACCTTATTTTTCACAGTACCAATATTTAATTTCTTTTTCACTTCCTTCTTCACTTTTTGTACTGTGCTCTTTTACTTGTCATACTTCTTTTTGTCTTGTTTGCTGACGAAGGCTCTAAGCTGAAACGTCCAAATCTTTTGTCCTGTCTATTAATTCAAGTTTAGCTTACCTTGTTCTTATATTCCATTTTTGCACTATCAGGTTTAGTTGAGCCAGAGAAGCCTAAACAGGACAGCACCCCAGAGTGGGCCAGAGCTTCCATACACAGGAGACAGAGGTTGATAGGTCAGTCTTCGTATTGATCACAAACATCACTGTTATGTGTGTCCTGTCCAATTAAAAAATAGTCTTTATAAACTTCTTTTTTCAAATCTCCACCACTTTGTGTACATTTTCTTTGAGATTATGTTTTTAATAATGTAATAGAGAGAAGATTTGTTAACATTAAATTTAAAAAAATGTTTGTTAGTATAATATTGAACATTTTTAAATTGTAAGACAATGTAATTATTATTTTACTGTATGTGACACTAATAATTATTCTTTATCTATATCATCTGGTTATATTTTCTAACAAAGAATTATTTTTTTTTTTACTTAACTGTGATACATTCAATAAAAAAAAAATTATTACTTTGATAATCTTAATTTTGACATTCTATTTTTTTTTTTTTAAGAGTCTGGAATTATCAAAGCTGAAGGCCAATGAAAAAAACCCCCACAGAATATCACAAGAGGAGGTAACTAGTGCTCACAGCATTTCTGTTTTAAATGGACCATCATTTTGTATGGTTTTCCTGCCCTTCAGCAATGGAAGAACTTTGGTTCTCAGCGGATTCATTAAATTCTACATAGCTATAGTACAGCAGTACATTTTAAGATGGGATCAATTTTTTTTCTCGGTGCAAAAAATAAATATTTGGAGCAGTTTTGTGTGGTTTTTTTTTTTTAAATTAATACTTAAGGTTTTGTTGACACTGTATCAATTTAGTGAGAACAATCCTAATTCACCAGAGATATGTTGTTATCGGTTTGAGGGAGACACTGTGTCTTTGACAATTTCCATTTGCTGATGTAAAAGTTTATTTCAAAATTTCATGCACTTTATTTTCAACCTTAACTGAAATTATGTGCTATTGCTGTTGATGCAAATTTTAAAATTGAATGATAATTAATTTAATAATTGAGAAATAAATTAACATATGCATTACAAAGAGGGGCTTCGAAACAATGTCACATTTATCTGTCAATGTGGGCATAATAATTGTAAAAACAAAACTCTTCGACTCCTCAAAAAAAATGCAGCATGAAGTGAATAACAAGAATCACAAGTCCCTTAGATGTTTGAGGTCGAAGGTTAAATGCTCCCTGCATATATTAAAAGGATATTTTTTCCTTAAACAAACAAACAAAAAAAAAAGAAAAAGAAAGAAAACTTACTTGTTGTTATTCCAATCATTTTGTTTAAAAAAAAATGTATATTCCATCTGACAAAGCCATTCATCTGTTGTGAATTTTATGTATTTAATTGACAACTTTTTCACTGGCCACAATGTGTATTTGGCGCCAATTTCAGATGCAAGGTGTTGTTGTTCATAGCAATATTTCAACCTCCTGTACCCGCCTTTGATCAGATGCTATTTTGTGGATCTATTTTAAGAATATTTTCTCTAAAACATGTAAAAACAAATACTTTTTTTTATATACATGTTATTGATAACGGTGTGTTTTTTTAAGTTACTATAGGGCTTTTTTTATATAAAGGTTCGTTAGTAACAGTAATGGGGTATCATATCCAGAAATTGATTTTGTGTATGTTAGATACACTGGTATTCAAATTTTAAAGTTACTGGTCTTGTAACACTAGAGCTACCTGTCTTGTAATATTAGAATTACTGATCATGTGACACCAGAGCTACTGTTCTTGTAATATTAAAGTTATGGGTCTTTGTAATATAAGAGTTACTGGTCTTGTAATATTAGAGTTACTGGTCTTTTAATATTAGAGTTACTGGTCTTTTAATATTAGAGTTGCTGGTCTTGTAATATAAGTTACCTATTAGCAAGATGTTTTAAAAGTGGATAGTTATCTCTTTCTATTTTGTTGTTGTGGAAAGATCAATTCCATTGTTGAGTCTACAGATCATGATGGCTTTTTGAATTTTATGTTATTGAAAAGTAGGATTCCATATCACTTGCTCAGATTATTTACCACATGTTTACATTTATAGTATTATGTCAAATGTATTCAACATATAACCATTGATTCCCTCACCAGACTTCCACATCTGTGAAAGGAAAATGTTGCTGTTTATTTAAATTTTTTTTTTAAAGTATGAAAATATTTATTCAAATCCCACATATTTCAAGAAGACACTTTGAATCATGTAACAATCAGTTAACAATTATTTTTTTTTTTAGATTTACTTCTTGTATCTTATCACAACTCTGATAAGTTGCATGTTAAATAGTCTCTCCTGCTGCAATCTTAAATAAACATAGAAAACATTTCTCATTACCTTAAATTAAACCATTCCTACCTTTAGGTGAACCCTTAAGTTTAAACAAAATGTAAACTATTCGTGTGATGTTCCAGCAGAAATACAAACTAAAAGTATTTATTGTTTACAGTAGTTCCCTTGAAGCACCAATGGCCATATCACTCCTGCTCTCAGAGATCAGTCATTTTGTAGTCAACACCCATAAAGTAGGCCCTAATCATCCCATTGATTTGTGATCAGTTACAGTTTAAGCAGTTAAAAATTGTGAGTCTCAATCTGAAAGACTTATTATGTTAACAGAAGTCATACATTTTTGATGAGCGTAAAAATATTTTTCTACTCTTTGGATTTGACAGAACCAAGTTGTGAATCTTTTATAAAACTCTGCCTGTATATTTTCCAACGTTTAAATTGTCCGTCCCTGCACCAGTGAAACCATATCTTTATCTATGTATTGTATTCTTCTATAAATGGTCATTAATGTTATTGGGGGTCTTTTTTTTTTTTTTCAAGCAGCCCAAAAATATGTACTTCTGGTTGATTTTTATATCTGACGTTTTCAACCGACCAAAGGCTGTTCATTCTCTGCAGTGGTGTTGTTTTGATTTTATGGTGAATAATTTAATTTTTTTAACATTACTTTTTCATAACGTATTTTTATTCAGGGAACTGTGTCTTAATTGATATTTAACTCACAACAAGTTGTCTCCCATTTACCACTTACGTTGGTTGAGGTTTCTGTAAAAAGTCTATAGAACAAGTATGCTCAACATAGATATGTCCTTTCATTGAGAAAAACAAGCTGAGATGTGCATTTTGAAGAAATCCTGATAAGTTTAAGCAGTAGGAGCTCCCCATTTCGTCTTTTAGGTCAAATTAAGTTATGGAAATGTTTAAGGGAGATTAAGTAGTATATTTGTTTTAAGTCACATCAAATCAGGGATTTGTTTTAGGTAATATTAAGTCATGTACTTGAATATCAGTTTAAAAACAAATTTATTGTCTAAGATACTTCGAAGTTTCAAGGCACAATTTTTTCATTTGTTCTATTTATTAAACCACTCTTGAGTTCTGACTGTGGTGTTAGTTTTATTCTCCTTCTGAGCTAGCCTGAAACATACTCACATATTTCGTAAACTCTGTATGATGCCATTGTTCTTATAGACTGTTCCAGTTTATACTGTCCTTTCACCCACAGCATGCTAACATTCCGTCTGTGTGTGTTCTGGTTTTACTTAATGCAGACATGCTGTGGATCTTTGGGCTCTGAGCGTGATGAATTTCAGGGGTTCTCAAAACTCATGTGACCCAACAAGTCAGCAATGACATAGGTTTGCTGCTGCCCTTTTAATGGTAAGATATTGACAAAAGTGGACCAATGTTAAGAGTTGTTTTCACAATATTGACGAATGGTTAAATATTGACAAAACTGGACCAATGTTAAGAGTGGTTTACGCTCTTTGGACCAATGGTTAGAATTGTGAAAAAGAATACTGTAAGTGTGTATGCCATTTCTTGTGTTGTCTTGTTCAAAATGAGAGAATAATGTTTTCATGCTATTGGCTTATGTATTGTAGAACTAACATGTATGTCATGAGTTTTGTACCATAGTTCTCATCAAGCAGTGAATCATTTGAAAACTTGATTGGGATGTCATTGTGAAATGCTTTGCCTTTTATGTTTAAAGGAGCTTGCACTTTTGGCCAGTACTGTCAGGAAAAATGTTGCTGAACTGGAATGCTATATTTTTTTAATGAGATATACTATTAATAATATGGCCAATGGCAGCCATTACTATTTTCTTAGTTTTTACAGGAAAGCTATAGTAAAGTTTTACTTCAATAGCAGGAAAGATTGTGTTTGTTATTATCTTTATTCAGCTTATCAATCATCAATTATTTTTTTTTATTGTTGTAAATTCATTGCATTTTCATACGTGGTTCAAGGCTGACAAGACTTATTTATTTAGTCGCAATGGCTACTTTAGCCAAAAGCAATGGCTACTTTAGCCAAAAGCAATGGCTACTTTAGCCAAAAGCAATGGCTACTTTAGCCAAAAGCAATGGCTACTTTAGCCAAAAGCAATGGCTACTTTAGCCAAAAGGAGTAGAAAATATTGGCTCAGCTAAATGGGGTAGATGATATTGGCTTAGCAAATGTGATGGAGAATATTGGCTTAGCTAAATGTGGTAGGTAATATTGGCTTAGCTAAATGTGATGGGCAATATGGGCTTAGCAAAATGTGGTAGGTAATATTTGCTCAGCTAAATAATATGGAAAATATTGACTTAGTTAACATTCATTTTGGTGTTTTATTTTCGTTTTTTTAAATTTACAAATCTAAATTTGATTAAACAGTATAATGGTAGGTCATGGTAGATTGAAAATTTATTTTGTGTCTGTCTGCATAAAAAACTGCTTAAATAAAAAAAAAAAGGAAAAATTACTGGGCTTGCCAGCTTGTTGTCGGTTAAATTTTCTACCAAGTGTGCCAGAAAAAATGTCCTACCCGGCTCACTGTCGCTGGTTAACATAATGAGGAAGCTCTGTCTCACATTTTCATCACTATCTTAGAGAAATTTTTTTCACATATAATTATATCCATTAGAATTCAAATAATGTAACTTTTAGGCATTTGAATTAGTCATCCTTGCTTAGTATCACATAAGTCATAGTATCCCCAATAAATTACTATCCTTTTGTATCAACTGTGAAAACACTATAACAAACAAATAAATTGACATAAGAATGAAACATGCAAATAAATAACTGACCAAAATGTCAAATTGAAATAAAACTTAAAACGTGTGTTTTCGTAAGTTTTTACATTTGTAATATAAAAAAAAAGTGAAAGGTCAACACACATCACCTGTCAGCATCACCTTGCCGTTTGTCATCCAGGTTTTGGTTGTTATTTTTGAGTCTGTTTTGTACTTCACCTGGTAGCTGGTCCAATTAAATTCCAGCATTTTTGTGGAGGAATCATATTTGGGCTTAGAAGGCCCAGTACATTCCTGTAGCCCTGGTCAGCTCAGATTCTTGTTAAGCAATTCATCCCATAGATTTGAAGAGCTCTGAAGCAGACACTAGATTTTTGCTGAGATTTAAACCCGTTATTCTCCTATACACTAGACTAGGCTTGTGACTTGGAATGGATATTTTATTGTCAAATGTTAAAGTTTCATAGTTTTGCTCTTGGCTCATGAGCCAGCAGTATGGGATTATTTTAGTCTTTCAAGATTTGCTTAAAATTTACTTTTTTTTGAATAGTGTAAACTTAGATTGCCCGGTCTGTTTCTCCTGATGCGCTGTTCCTTTTTTAATATTTTAAACAAATGATTTATTTTAGTTCATTAAATTAAAAAATATATATATTTACTCTACATTTATAATAGTTTTGGAAACATTTATTTTTTTGAGAGGGGGGGGGGATGGGATGATGTTATTTTCTTTCAATATTCAGTTGCTGTTTTTCTTTGTGAGAAAAAACTGGCAACCCTAGTTTAAACTTCAGTTTAGTATTAATGATTAATGTTCTACTTGCATAATAAAATAAAGTTGGTAAAACATGTTTGGGTAAAAAATTTTGAACTTAACATATTTCTCTGAAATTAAAATATTCATATATGCAGCTTAGCATTTCATGTTTAATTTGTTCATTTTTTTTTTCAAGTAGAGCACCTTTAGACTGTGTTGTTGTATTAGGTGAAGCTGTCCAGCATTTTGTAGTTACCGTACATTTTATCCTTCTCTAGTGACTATGCATATTTTTCCTTTGGATATTTCATAAGGTTAGAATTTAAGAAATTTATATTTTAGATCAATGGCATTGACTATATTTTATTTCTGCTGTATGGTGTACATTTTATTTATCTTTAAATCGCAAGATCATCAATGCTTTGTTTGTTTAATAATTATTATTTACGTAAAATATGATTTGACATATGAGTTTGAAACTTTATTACTTTCTTTCATTGTAAAAATACTTGTTTCCATGATTGTTGGAGAAGGTGAGAGAACTATAATTCATTCAGTTTGTTGTTTTTTTAATGTGACTTTGCTGATTGTGAAACACGAACACTTGGTGTAGTAGTGCAGGTTAGTAACTGCTAATGCTACAACATAACAGTGTTTAAGTTGACTATATGCCTAGTGTAGTAGGGCACGTCATTAACTGCTAATACTACCACATAACAATGTTCCAAGTTTAAGTTGACTATGCCAAGTGTAGTAGTGCAGGTTATTAACTGCTAATACTACCACATAACAATGTTCCAAGTTTAAGTTGACTATGCCTAGTAGTGTGACAATGCAAGGATGCAGTGCACTCTATTCTGCATGCCAATATGCCTTATATGTTTTGTTTTCTAAAACATAAAAAGAAATATTTTAAAAATTAGTTATTTATGCATTTGTAAACTCTCTACTATATCTACATTTGGCAGGCTACAATTGTTGAGCAGTTGAATAAATTATTGTAATTCTATATAACACAACATTTTAAAAAAGTATGCTTTGGCACATCTCATCCCTTTAGACTTCAGTTTTATATATGCAACATCACTTCCAATGTTGTTTTTTTACTTTTTGTTTCAGATTCAAATTTGGCGAACAAAAAGTGTGTTTTTTTTTTTAACTAGTGTCCAGCAACATTGAAAGCCATGGACAGAATCTGACTGTACACATAATTTTGAGCCTTTTTCCCTCTTTTAAAAATTAGGATTTTTTAAAAATATACTGTTCAAGTATGTATATCTCATATTGAAATTTACACAGAAGCCAATTTTGTGAAACTTATAACTAAATGTTTATCTATTGAATCAGTTCTTCTGTTTTGTTACCAGCACAATGTTAAATTTGTTCCACTTTTATGGTGCAGAGGTACTTTTCATGAAAACATCATCATTCATTGACGTATATTATTTACTTCCATTTAAAACTCTAATTCACTTTATTTTTGGAAATTAAATTTTTTTTAAACAGCTGATCAGATTCTTTCTTGTCTCCCTCAAAAATTGTTTAGAAAATAATAAACTTTATTTTATTTTTTTCTGTTCACACTGATTTCTGCTTGTGTTCAGAGCCTGGGACCTGCACTTCTCATGTGAACTTTTACATGCTTCCATTTGAAATCTGTTAATTTTAATTAATTTTTTTAAAATTAGATACCAGATTGTTAGCGCCTCAGGAAATTACTAGGTAGTTTAGAGCTGTATTTTTGCCTACTACCCCCACAAAAATTAAAAGGTGAAGAAGTACCATAAATACCCAGCTATCTTCTTTATGTTCGAGGGTACCCCAGTTGTGCATCCACTGCTTTATTTCTCTTTCTAAATCCATGCCGCCATGATGCCTCAACATTCATATACAATGACGTCTATGAAAACCTGAGATTAAACTGAGTGCAAAGGTGACTTTAGAAAAAAAAATCTAACATAAATTTTTTTGGCTAAAATCAAGAGCATTAGAAGATGACTTACAAATGTCTTAATTAAATTTGTTCATCAAATGGAGTACAATGTCATAATCTAAAAGTTGTATTGTACCAAAGAAAAATGTTCACTGCACATGTATGGAATTTTATGTTTGAATTTTGATTAATGATTTTTCTCAATTATTGCTTTCATCAAAACCATGGACAGATCTCATTCTATATGATGATAATAAAAAAAAATAATTTTAATAGTTATTTTAAACATCAAAAGTTATCAGTAGGTCCTACTAGCATCTCGGGAAAAAAAGTAAACTGTAAAAAAATTAATATTTATTTATTAAAAACCTTTTTAGTTGTAAATTCATGTAAATTAGTAATATTGCCTAAAATGTTACATTTCCTTTAAAGCATTTTTATTGCTAAGTAGCTATATCTCTGTAGTAATAGGAGCATGTCCCCACTTAAGCTTAAGCTGACAGCAACAGGACAAAAAAAAAGACTAACTGCCACTAAGCAGTCTCACTAACTGCCACTAAGCAGTCTCACTACCTTCCACTCATCAGTCTCACTAACTGCCATTAAGCAGTCTCACTAACTCCCACTAAGCAGTCTCACTAACTGCCACTAAGCAGTCTCACTAACTGCCACTGAGCAGTCTCACTAACTGCCACTCATCAGTCTCACTAACTGCCACTGAGCAGTCTCACTAACTGCCACTGAGCAGTCTCACTAACTGCCACTAAGCAGTCTCACTACCTGCCACTCATCAGTCTCACTAACTGCCATTAAGCAGTCTCACTAACTGCCACTCATCAGTCTCACTAACTGCCACTAAGCAGTCTCACTAACTGCCACTCATCCAGTCTCACTAACTGCCACTGAGCAGTCTCACTAACTGCCACTGAGCAGTCTCACTAACTGCCACTAAGCAGTCTCACTAACTCCCACTCAGTCTCACTAACTGCCACTGAGCAGTCTCACTAACTGCCACTAAGCAGTCTCACTAACTGCCACTGAGCAGTCTCACTAACTGCCACTGAGCAGTCTCACTAACTGCCACTAAGCAGTCTCACTAACTGCCACTCATCAGTCTCACTAACTGCCACTGAGCAGTCTCACTAACTGCCACTAAGCAGTCTCACTAACTGCCACTCATCAGTCTCACTAACTGCCACTCATCAGTCTCACTAACTGCCACTCAGCAGTCTCACTAACTGCCACTCAGCAGTCTCACTAACTGCCACTCAGCAGTCTCACTAACTGCCACTGAGCAGTCTCACTAACTTCCACTCATCAGTCTCACTAACTTCCACTCATCAGTCTCACTAACTTCCACTCATCAGTCTCACTAACTGCCACTGAGCAGTCTCACTAACTGCCACTAAGCAGTCTCACTAACTGCCACTGAGCAGTCTCACTAACTGCCACTGAGCAGTCTCACTAACTTCCACTCATCAGTCTCACTAACTTCCACTCATCAGTCTCACTAACTTCCACTCATCAGTCTCACTAACTTCCACTCATCAGTCTCACTAACTTCCACTCATCAGTCTCACTAACTGCCACTAAGCAGTCTCACTAACTGCCACTAAGCAGTCTCACTAACTGCCACTGAGCAGTCTCACTAACTGCCACTCATCAGTCTCACTAACTGCCACTGAGCAGTCTCACTAACTGCCACTAAGCAGTCTCACTAACTGCCACTGAGCAGTCTCACTAACTGCCACTCATCAGTCTCACTAACTGCTACTGAGCAGTCTCACTAACTGCCACTAAGCAGTCTCACTAACTGCCACTGAGCAGTCTCAGTAACTGCCACTAAGCAGTCTCCCTTTTAAAAGTCTGAGATAAACTCACTCATAAAAACACTGTGAGCTCTGCATGCAACATCATCACATAGGAAAGAGGTCCAACAAAGAAACAAAGACTGCACAATTCCAGTTAAATGACAAACAAATTTGAATAAATGGATCAGAGACTCTTTTTTTTTTTTGTTTACTGTTTACAAATGCCTGTATTTGCAAAATAAAAGAAATACAATTCATCTCTGAAAGATTTGACCCAGAAAGATGTCACATCCAACATTTTAAAGAGTGTGGTAAGTTTTATGCGATACATTTCAAAATTGAATGCTAAAATAAATATAAAGGGAGGTGGCAGGGTTTGCTCAGAAAAAAAGTGCATTTTGTGATGCTAAATTGAGATAATATCCCTTCCAGACAGGGGCTGCCATTTCATTGTACATTAGTAATTAAAGGGATAGATTTAAAATATAAACTGAAAACTTCTTCCAAGAAATGCTATAAATAATTTAGGATTTCTGGAGAAGAAACATTACAAACTGTGGAGAAATAATATATAATTTTTTTTAAATCTTTGGTTAAATGTTGAAACTCAATATCCTGTGGTTTCGTAAGCTCTTTGAACAAACATTAAATTGAAAGAAGGTAACAATTCAATGATTATTATTGTCAATGTTTTTAGGAAACCAAAAAAAAATATTGTGTTATCCAAAAATAATACTTCTTAAATTCCAACAGTTTCTCCTCATTTAAAGAATATTTTATCCTCGCCCTAAAAGGTAAATTTGTATTTTAAGAAATTCAGCAACTTTAGTTGAGTACTTAATAAAGCAGAACATTCAAGTTTATCAACAGACTAATTAATTAATAACTTAGATAATAATTATATTTTATTAAACCTTTGCTCTCATCAACAATAGTTTTAAAAGCTATTATGTTATAAAAATATAGACATGATTTTTTCTTAAAATAAATTTGCCCTACACTAAGAATTACTTAGCTATATTAAAATATTTACAAATCATACGTTTTAGAAATATGATTTAAAAAAATAAATATTTTGTAAGTACAATAGGAATAGCTCATTATAATACATATTTACAATTTAAACCTGTTTGTTTTGAGGCCCTTGTCAGATATCAATGAACACTTTGATTATTTCATCCCTCATCATAATCATATAATCCCCCATTGAGATGGTGCTTGATGCAGGATCATCCTGAAAACCCCAGCTAACAACCAACATTACTCTCTTCTGCCCTGTACGTTAATGTTAAAATTAAAAACAGCTTTTGAAACAAAGAAACCAAATTTAAACACCTGCATTTAGTGTTAGTACAGTAGTGCCACCGTCTGGATAAATATTATGAGTTCTGAGGAGTTCACGGTGATTGTCAACCTGTGCCTCTAGCTCAGCTAGCTTCAGTTTCAACTCCTTCAATTCATTCTCTTTAGCAAGTCTGAGATTTTGCTCCTTTTTTATTTTATGGCTAGCCTGTCTGTTTACAGATAAGATCACTCCTGAAAAATATATAAATAACAAGAAAAGTTCTTGAAGTGCAAATTATTTTAGAAACATTTCGGAAAGACTAAAGGTAAAAACTTGCTCTTAAAAGATTTATTATGAAATGGCCCTTGTTGTCAATTAACTTTTAAAAGGTTTCATTGCAACACGTATTAGTAAAGCCCAGCAGGTCTTAAAATGAACTCCACTAATAGTAGGCTACTTAAATTATTTAATGCCCCTTGTAAGGGTTTTAAAAACAAATTAATATCCACGATTTGACATTTTTACTCTGAACTATTTAATTTGCTTAATGTAATACAAAGTGAGTGCATGAGATTATTAGTTCCACTTTGATTCATACATTTATAAGATTACAAAGATGTTCTTAATAAGATAGATTGGTTTGTATGTCTTTCATAAAAAATCATGATGACCCCCAAAGAAATTTTGAAGCCTCTAATCAAGTGCACAAAAAAGTGATTCAAAAATTATCTTGAAATTTACCATTGACAACTCTTGCCACTCTCCACAGTCTGAGCAGTATGAGCAAACCAGTGCCTTTGGATACATCACCATGATCAAAGAAGACAATATCAAGAATGAATGACACAATCACTACAAGGCCATCAAAAATCTCCATCTTGCTCCTAAAGAATCCCAGGCGCATCACATAGATTCTTAAGATTACCTCAACAATGAAAATGCTCAGGATAGTAAGACTTAAACCAGAAAATATCTGAAGAAGATGTAATGCAATATACCAATATATTTATAAATTTATGTATTTTTATACACAGGCTGTAGTCAGGGTTTAGGGCAGTAAACTAGTTGTTCAATTTTTTTAAATAGCAGATAAATTTTGTTATTTCTGCATAATTGGACCTTGATTTTGATACCCTCAGCACAGGGTACCCTCATAATGTCTTCTGCTTACTTGGAGAAAAACAGGATCTAGATAGGACTTATTGAATAGATCAAATAGATCCAGCTCCATTTTTCCCCATGCACATAATTATTGGAACTGTGGTGTTCATTGGCAATAGGCTAAGAGTAAGAAACCAATAAAAGCATAAAAACAATTAGCCTACAGCCCTACATAGAAATTAAAGTTTAGCGCAAAGCAACTGAGAAAATTAAAAATGTGTTTCATAACGGGATGAAAACCAAATGCAACTACAAAAATGAAGGCCCAGAAACACATTGTTTCCACTGCAATATTACTTTTAATACCATTAAATTTTTTTTTTCAGCTAAACCTCCTAAATTGAAATTTAAAGTAGATTTTCTTAGCCACACCTACCTCAAGATCATAAGATACCAACTTAATTGTGTCTTTAACCCATAGGTGGCACTCAGATCAAAGATGGGTGAGCATTATTTTTAAATTTATTTTAGTAGCCTATATAAATATTTAATCTTAAAATAAATCAAAACATTACCTAGAAAGAAGGTATACCATTGGCAGGAACTTTTCCTGTTCAAATATATATTATATCACTGATCAAGTGTTGTTGTTTTTTAATAATACAAAGTTAAATAAATAGGTAGTAAAGAGTTTTAAATAGTATTAAAAAATATTACAAATTTTTAACAAACCTTATGCTGTAAGGTTTTGTCTATGTCTAATTTGAAAGTTTCTAATCCCAGAAGCAGTTCTATCAGCACTATCAAACAGTCTACACAAACTAGTACAATAATAAATATCTGAAAGTAAAAAAATAGAATTAAATTTTTTTAAATGTTTTAACAAATATTTTATATTCACTTTCTAATAATTTAATTATCCATGTACAATGCATGGATAGGAGGTGTATAAATTGTATACCGTTATCAAACACCTCCTATCCAATAACGGTATACAATTTATAGTATAATATTTGCAACTATTGTAGAAGAATACTCTCAAGTCATCTGAATGACCTACCTTTGATTTACAGTTTGAGAAAACTTTGTTCATCTCCATTTGTTAACATTTCAGTCTTAAAAGTTTGTATATAAATCAGTTTTTAATTTAAACATTTCATTCTTTATAAGAAGAATATATTATTTCCAAAATTTGGACTGACTGTTTCTAAAGGTAAAAATGTGTTGCCCTAAAATGGCTACAAGCTAACATCTTGATTTTAATATTAGCTGGCACAAGCCGATTTTAGAATTATAAATCTAAAATGATTTCAAGGATTAATGAATGCCAAGGGGGTGGGGGAATCTGATTTATCTTAGAGGTGTGCAAATTTGTAAACACTAAACAGGGATTGCTACTTGTGGGTATAAACTTTGACAGCTTTTTCAGGGGCTGTGTTCTGTGGTGTTAACTATGGGACTGGCCACATCATCTCTGAGCTGCACACAATTGGCTTGCCCATTAAGGGATACAATCTGGGATAAGAAGCATCTGGAGTATGAGTTCTCCCTTAAACATTTTTAGGCCAGTGCCAATTTATTTAATTTCTAAAACAGGTTTTATCTTTAAACTAATCAATTCATAGCAAACTCAAAATTAAAGATCAGAAAATTTGACTAAAATAAAAAAAAAAAAAAAAAAAAAGAAAGGGGGGGGGGGGGTTAATCATTGAGAAAAAAGTTATGTAATAAAAAAATGTATGTAACCAAAGATTAAGATCTACCTGAAATTTTTGAGATTCCAAGAAATGTAATAGCCTTTCTTTGCATGGTTTTCGGTTCTCAGGGTCAGCCTCAACAATGGATACACAATCACTTTCAAAAATGTTCATTTCTTGTTTTAGTTTTAGGCATAATCCTCACGTTTCCAGTTATTTTCTCTTTATAAAAGTTAAAGGACAAGTTTTATTATGTTTGACATAGTATACTTAGTATAGACATTCATTGCTCTAATCAATAATGATATGTTTTATAATTATAATATTTATAATTAAATGGGTGATTCAACTCAAGTTTTAATTAGGCCTACTAATAATAATCTTTTTCTTGTAAAAAGCAAATTCCCCACTCTAAATGCAAAAAGAAACGATTAATTAAGCCCTTTTAAGGCTTTTATCATATACGGACTTAGTCTTAGTCAAAGACTATGGTCACGTTAAATTTTTTAGACCTAGTCTAATTAATAAAAATGTAATTTCAATTTGAAATGGTTCAATTTGGAACTAAAAAGTCATAAGCAAAATGCCTAATTATTTATTGAATAATGAAACATTAAAATAATAACATTATAAAAATGAAACTTTTTGTTTAAAAATTAAATATTACTACACCCATACAATTTTATTTTTTTAAATTAATTATTTTTAGGCTAACAAAATACGCACAAACTTAACTAAGCCCGAGATTTTAGCAAGACACGCCCCCTTGTCCCTTGTTTTCAGCTCTGGTCTCTGGTTGTTAGTTCTTTTCGTCTATTGTCGTATTGTCAAGTGACCTTTAACCTTTCGTATGTAAGGCTAAGTATTGCTTGGAAACATAATCATGGGCGATTCTAAGATAAAAAGTTGTGGCACTTTATCCTTTCCAGAAGTTTTGCAAACAGAAACAGTAGCATGTTGGGGAGCTGACTGAAACGATAGTTGAGTTCGTTAGTCGTTAGGAAAGGAGGATTAAGAATTAAAGGTAGCATATAGATTTGCGCCATTCTATTTCTCACAATTTACTCTACAGAAACATATTCATTATTTTATTTTTAAGATGTCTCAATTTTGCCCGGCCGCCCCCCCCCCTTCCCCACTTTTTTTTTCTTTGTAATCTTCAGACCTAGAGGGTGGGGTAACTTGCTACTGTATGTTAGGCAATACAACAGCAGTGGCTCCCAAACTGTTCATCCTGTAGAGTCATGTCTTCTTTATGGGACTCAAGAGAGTCACGAAATATTTAGAAAATAAACGCCTGTCCATGTTTAATTCAAAATTATTGCACGTGACTTCTAGCGGACTTGATAAAAACGTGATAACATTTTAAATTTGTGCAGAAGCCGGTGCGGTAAACTTATGGTGTCTCTCCCCCCCCCACCCCCAATACCATACTTCCACGATGGATTTCTTCTTGTTAACATAAGTCCACAGCATAACAATAAGTCTGGGAGTAAATGTTTTTAAATAACTGTAACAACGTTAAGATATAGCTCTTTTAAACATTAAATTTATGTTATTTGAAACTTTCCTTTCCTGGTCTTTAAAGCTGCAAACCTGTCAATCGTGCTCAAATGTTAAGGGGCGGCGCTAGTGACGAATCGGCAAAAAAAAACCTCAATTTTTGAGTACGCCTTGACCTATTTCTGGGTTTCGATGTATCTGGCTTGAAAAATAATATTTTAAATTTAAATAATTTTTTTAATGATGAAAAGACATTAGAAAATGTAAAATATTTTTTTGTTAACCCTATAAATCAGGCTTGCACTTGCACAACTAAACTGTAAGGCGAGCCGTAACATTTTATGAAAAACTTGTGCGGGCCGAAAGAACATAGGACATGGGGGAAAGCTATTAGGAAAATAATAATTTTAAAAAGAATATTTCGTTACTTACTTCGTGGGCCGTATGTTGTACAGGCCTGTTATAAATGGGTAAAATGTTATTTTAAAAAATGTTTTTAGTTTTTACCGATTCGATTCGTGTGCATCGCTCGACCACATTGCATTTGGTATCAATGGAAAGCTTTATTTCTCAGAATTATGATAAATTTAGAGTCCTGTCACTTACGACTTTATTATAGGGTTACCTCATTTCTGCCACATCAACCTTGAACTTTTAATATTAATATAGCACGATTTGGCATGTGTGGACAATTTACGTGTGTTCGGTTATCTATCAAAGAATTTCGGTTAGATATAGCAGTGTGTTCTCCTTAAATATGCAATTTTTCAATTTGGTGTCGCCCCACTGATATGGTGTCACCCGGTGCGGTCCGCACCCACTGCACTCGCTAGCTACGCCACTGGTAGATGCCTCTACACATTTTTACTAGGTGCCGATCTGTATTCTTGAATATGTGTTATATTAATTTACTAACCATATAGGGTGAAAGACGTAGCTACAGTTAGTGGCGCTTGAGGTTGGCCAAGCATTTGGTCGCCATCTTACGAAAAAATCTCCAGGTAGCCGAAAATGCCACTACGCCATATAAAGTAAAGGAAAAAAGTGTCGCCCGAGTCCGACTGTCCCCCCTCGGATATTTAATGGGCCTAAAGTTGTAATGTTTTAAATATAAATTTGTTTTGTCTTATTTAATTAATGTATGTTAATTAATTTTTTAAGTTCTTGATTATGATTGTTAAAGTTAAATTGTATGTACAGCGTGGTGAGCCCAGCCCTAGGCCGGCTGGGATACCACGCTATATAAAACCACTTCTAATGATAATAATTATGTGGAAAGAATTTTAACTATCAACTTTGAATCCAGGGGGCACAAAACCGAAAAGTGGTGGGGTGGGGGCGGGGGCAGAAAATCGGCAGGGGCTTCACAAAGTCACGCGATTGCTCTGCCCATTTGAATGAAATAAAATATGGTCAAAGACTGAAGGAGTGCACCATAATGCATAAGACATGATAAGAGAAACGCTTACTACATCAAGCCGCATAGGCTAGGCTTACTGTAAATACAGTGATGTGGAGCCTCAGTTATTTTTAAAGTGGGCCAACTCAGTGTATTGAGAACTGTGGGGTACGTTCATTGGTGTAAATTTCTTAAAAATTTTAACTTATAATAAATTGCACAAACTATTTTTGGGGACTGGCTCTAATTGTTAATCGTGATTTGCAAATATTATATTTACAGCAGACTACCTAAACAACAAATGTTCCGTGACTTCTCTGATGGGAAACACTCAGCTGGTGGGCGGGAAACACTCAGTTGGTGGGCGGGAAACACGCAGCTGGTGGGCGGGAAACACTCAGCTGGTGGGCGGGAAACACTCAGCTGGTGGGCGGGAAACACTCAGCTGGTGGGCGGGGGGAAAAAACGCCTTTAGAAGACTGCCTAAAAAAATTCACTCAAATCCGTGTAGATCGACCTTCATCCTTTGGGAACACTTGCTATGGACCGTACCAGCTGATGAGGCAGACTCACTGTGGGACCGTACCAGCTGTCGAGCCAGACTCACTGTGGGACCGTACCAGCTGACGAGCCAGACTCACTGTGGGACCGTACCAGCTGATGAGCCAGACTCACTGTGGGACCGTACCAGCTGACGAGCCAGACTCACTGTGGGACAGTACCAGCTGACGAGCCAGACTCACTGTGGGACAGTACCAGCTGATGAGCCAGACTCACTGTCTGACCGTACCAGCTGACGAGCCAGACTCACTGTGGGACAGTACCAGCTGACGAGCCAGACTCACTGCGGGACAGTACAGAGAGCGAGACTCACCGTGGGACCGTACCAGCTGACGAGGCAGACTCACTGTGGGACCGTACGAGCTGATGAGCCAGACTCACTGTGGGACCGTACCAGCTGACGAGCCAGACTCACTGTGGGACAGTACCAGCTGACGAGCCAGACTCACTGTGGGACCGTACCAGCTGATGAGCCAGACTCACTGTCTGACCGTACCAGCTGACGAGGCAGACTCACTGTGGGACAGCACCAGCTGACGAGGCAGACTCACTGTGGGACAGCACCAGCTGACGAGCCAGACTCACTGTGGGACAGCACCAGCTGACGAGCCAGACTCACTGTGGGACAGCACCAGCTGACGAGGCAGACTCACTGTGGGACAGCACCAGCTGACGAGGCAGACTCACTGTGGGACAGCACCAGCTGACGAGGCAGACTCACTGCTGGAAGACAATACTCAAAGAATAAATGCACCACTCACGCCCAAAGAAAGCGCTAGGCAAGGAAATGCAGAATCGACTCCCAGCCAACTAGGACCCAAAACATGTGTGACACAAGTAGAGATCGACCGAATTTCGGCTTCGGCTTCGGTTTCGGCGCCGAAAGTGGCCATTTGATCACTTTCGGCCAAGTTTCGGTTTCGGCCGAAACTGAAAAGTTAACTTTCGGCTTTATTTCGGTTTCGGCCGAAAGAGAAAAGTTAACTTTCGGTTTTTCTTCGGTTTCGGCCGAAATTGACTTAGACTTTCGGCCACCGGCCGAAAGTAACTCTAGTTTTTGGTCATTTAATACTCAGCGAAAGCGATA